TCTCTCTCTCTCTCTCTCTCTCTCTCTCTCTCTCTCTCTCTCTCTCTCTCTCTCTCTCTCTCTCTTTCTTGTTCAGTTCCATCACTACTGACGTGATTATGTGAGATATACGCCTTCAGTCTTTGCCTTCGCGTATTTTACTGAATTTGTGGTCTTTTTAATTTAAATGCTATGCAAATATTGCAATAAAGTAACATGGTTCAGCACTTGCTGTTTAGTAAACTGTCATTGGATAGCAACATTACACAACTACGAACATTCGTGTGAGCGATTTAATTCCAGCAAGTGAAGATTAGTTAGTAAGTTCAACGCTGCATCCATCTAATGCGCACTCATGCGTGCGTTTGTGCGTGCGTGTGTGAATGAGTGAGTCCCTGCATGTCCGCGCGCCTGCGTATGGGTTCGTTCGCGCATGTGAATTAGGAAGCTGTAGATAAGTGATATCGGGAAGTCAAGCTGTCTTCTAGGTTTCTAAGCTTCCTAATTAGGTCACAGAAAAAGGGGGTATAAAATGGCCGAGGCGCGCTTAGAAAAGTACATGATTAATGTAAACACTCGTGCGTTTTTCGTTTTTGCATTAACACAAACATTGCAAAATATCCCAAATGACCACAATCATATTTGTAAATGTTTCTGTAAACAGAAACGCACCTGTAAATTGAAGTACGATGTTAGTGAAGAGAATTATAGATCAAAAACCTAGAATAGTCCTATCCTACCCATGTTATAAAAGGGCTGTTTATACCCCCTCTTATCTGATCTCAATATGGCGGCGGGGACTTTCCGATATGGCTTATTGCGATAAAGTGCGTTTCCAACATTTCAGTGGAAATGGCACCTGTACATGTTGTCACACAATAATTATTTCCGCTTCAACACCATTAAATATTTTCGGTTGTTGCATGGCGTAATTTACCATTTAATAAACGTTTCTCTTCGTTTTGATCGGGCTTGTGCAGATTCTCTCTGAAATGGAAGAAGAACATTGGCGACTTAGCGTCAAACGACAATGCGATGAATTGTCGAATTTTAAAAGTTTTTTTTACCAAATTTCTACAGGTTTCTTTATTTAAGTTTAGAAATATTTTTTCATATTACACAGAATACATTTTAACTAATAATTCTTAAGAGTGAGAATAGTATAATATGCTATGCTTGGCTGCTATTATGCCTGTGTACAATGGCGTTGTGTTTTACTTACTTGCTTCCATAGAGAACGGTCACGTGGTAGCTATCCGAGTCGGTGTTACTAAAGCCACTGCTTGACTCAAGTGTGAGATACCTTCTGGAATCATAGCGACCTCGATGCGACCGCGAGGAAAACACAGCTGGTTGCCTAGATGTCAAGCAAATACAGTCATTAATTGCATATATAATTCATCAACAGGTTTCGTCTGGTATGTGTCAATGTTTTTATAGTTTTTTAATTGTATTACTTAGCAAAAAATACGTAACGAGAGTGCGAAAGAGAACATGGCCATCAAGTCATCACATCACAAAATAACGTAAAGTGCGTGAGAGAGAGCAATAAATAGAGGGGATGAAGTATGCGTGAATGCGTGTGCATGAGAAAGAGAGGAAGAGAAAAGAAGAGGGCGAGAAAGGGAGCAGAGAGTGCATGGGAGCGAATAGCGGCAACAGATACATAGACAAATTGCATAGAGAATAAAAAACATTGCGTGGAACGATGCTGTGTCAATGAGCTATGCACCCGTCTACCTGTAACACACTCGCTATGATCGTTGATTCTATAGATAAAACATTCGACAATTTCGCACGTGAATATAAAAGCGTTTTGCTAGACTTTCACGAGGTTTTTCATGTTTTGACTAACCATCTCTCAACTCTTTACTCGGAATTCTACGCCGTCTGTTTATCTCATTAGTCATGTAAACCCGCAAAAAGATAAATGCCGATATTATTACATTCGGCCGCACACGCTTTAAGAGAAAATGGGGTGTGGCGTTCAAAGCCGTGTCTGCGTTACGCGAAACCAATTAATCTAATTAATTTTGAACGAAACTTCAATGCGCTGGTATTTCGTCAGCAGTACAATCGTTACAGTGTGTGATATATTACTGTAAGATTCTATAACGTGTATATATTACATGAGACATCGTTAGCACTCGTGGACGAGTGAGATAATGGTGTATATACGAACAAACATATTGATCGTTGTATTTTGCTGCTGGTTACTAAATGCTCATTTTCCTGAGTGCATTTTATTGATTCGAACTATCAATAACAACTCTGATAGTATAGTTCACACACCAGCTCACCCAACACACGTCGCGGAGGCGCAACTAGAAACTCGCACGTACGCACACACGCACGCACACGCACACACGTTCGCATACACGCGCACACACGCACGAGCACGCACACACACGTACGCACACACGCACGCACCCGCACACGCACGTACGCACGTACGCACACACGCACGCACACGCACGCACACGTACGCACACACGCTTTTAACGTACGCACGTACACACACACACATGTACGCACACACGCACGCGCACACGCGAACACGTACGCACACACGCTTTTAACGTACGCACGTACACACACACACATGTACGCACACACGCACGCGCACACGCGAACACGTACGCACACACGCTTTTAACGTACGCACGTACACACACACACATGTACGCACACACGCACGCGCACACGCGAACACGTACGCACACACGCTTTTAACGTACGCACGTACACACACACACATGTACGCACACACGCACGCGCACACGCGA